ATCATCAGCATAACACAGAATTTCCGCGCCCTGGAGGCGAAGGGATGCAATATCATTTATATACAGCAAGAACAGGGAAGGTCCTAGAATGCTTCCCTGTGGGACCCCAAAGGTCACAGGTTTCATACTGCTTCTCTGACCAACAACTCTCACGCATTGCTGTCTTCCCGTCAAATAGTCAGAAAACCATTTGTGAGCTGCTCCTCTGATACCATAGGCTTCCAGTTTTTTTAAAAGGATAGGGATCGATACTGACTCAAACGCTTTAGCGAGATCCAAAAAGACCCCAATGCAATTTAAACTTTTATCATCTAAATGAGAGACTACAGTATTTGTGAGGAGTGTAACCGCATCTTCTGTTGATTAACCTCGGCGAAATCCGAATTGTCGGTCAGAGATCAGTTGGTTGCCGTCGAGGAAAGATACAAGGCTCTTATTTATTATACGCTCCAATAGCTTCGACACACTTTCCAAGAGAGATATGGGGCGGTAATTACTAGGATCTTCTTTTGGGTGGCCCTTATGCACTGGCATCACAGCAGCAACCTTCCAGGGCTCTGGAAAACTACCACTTTCTATACTCAAATTGAAAATCGATGCCAGAGGACCAGCAATACTGTGACCAATGGATTTCAAAATCCTGTTGTCAATATCGTCCAGACCGGGTGAGCTATCTGACCTCAGATTTTTTATGAGCGAAAGTATTTCTTGAGAATCTGTAGGTGTCATGAAGAAAGAATTACCCGGAGATCCCTTCACATCCACCTTCGCAGTGAGAGACTCATGGGTAATATTCTTTTCTTCCAAAATACCATTTGCCAATTTCGGTCCCACAGAACAAAAATGAGTATTGCATGCATCTAAGGATGCCTGAGTAGAACCTTTAATACTAGCTATGTCTTGTAGAGTAGTATTATTTTTCTTTAAGTTTCTATGAGAGATTCTATTTACAGATTTCCATAGCTTTTTTGGTACATCTTTGTTTTTATTTATTTCTTTGCTATCGTGTTCGGCTTTTAAACGTCTTAATAGGCTGACGTAAAAGTTTCTATATTGGGAAAAAAATACTCTCTTTGTTGCATCATTGGGGTGTTTTCTAACGTCCAAGTGCAATTTATCCTTATGTTTTGAGCAACGGATTAATCCTGGTGTCATCCAGGGATGTATGTTAAATTTGGAGTGACTGACGCGATGATGATGGGAATGTTTAGAAATTGCATTTGAGAGCACAGCAGAGAGCTCAGAAGCAGCCCTATCAACAGAAGTGTTCGCCAAGATTTGAGACCAATCTGTTTGCTCGATCTCAGATTTTAAAGCATCGAGATCGACCCTCAGTATGGTTCTGCATCTATGTGTTTGGGACTTTGGGAGCGCAGTCATAATTCCCATCATTATCAAGTCATGATCCGTAAGTTCAACAGGACAAACCACCGCTTCAGCCTGTGCTGAGGCTGAGATGAACATGTGGTCTATGCAGGATCGGTCATGAGTAGGTTCGTTTATACAAGAAGCTAAACCATGTTCGGCTAGAAGTGTAAGATAAGACGACGTATTTTCGTTAAGAATTGAGGTGCCAATAATATTAATGTTTATATCACCGGTCATGACAAGACAAGGAGAGCATTTTAGAGAACCCAAAATCTCATCAAGCGACAACAAAAACTTTGAGGTGTCCTTAAACCATCTTTTGATGGTGACCTATATAAAGCAAACAAGGTCAATATATTCGGGATACTAACTATTAATCCATTTGCGTCTTCTATATTGGGTTCAATAACAGTCGCAGGCCATTTGTCATTTACATATACAATAACTCCTCCCGCTTTATTTATATATTTTGATGTACTGAAGCTATTATATCCATCTATTTGCTTAACGGTGGTCACTTCACTCAACCAACACTCAGCGAGAACTACAACATCAGGCGTAATATCCAATCTCCTAAGCACTACCAAAAACTTCTCAAAATTACGCTGCATGCTACGGATATTTAAATGAAGTATTTTAGTCGGATATTTTCTTAGTATTCTTCCGCAGTCTTCCGGATATAGTATTTTATGGCATTCTATATTTAGGGACTTGTCTATATCATATAGTAGGTCAAGGGTAGTCATATTTTTTATAAAAAGTTAAGGATATTAGTAATAAATGAATGAATGCCAGACGATTTCTTAAAATGAAGAGTACATCCCTATAGCCAGATGTGTAAAAAATAGTGAAGCAACGTATATGTAAGCTTGTTTCAATACTAAAAGAATCTCCCATGTATTTTCTCGAAATGTTGTTTTTGTACGTAAATGCGTTAACTACTTGTGTCAAATACCCATTTTTGTGAATTGTATGCGAGTAGAAGCATCCTGTGCAGAATGTTTGCAAGAAATTTGGTGTATATTTGTAAGGATTGTGTGTGCATTGTGTTTTATTAATTATTAAACAATTATTGATATAAAAACTAAGAAATAGTAAATAAGAGTAAAAATATGCTGTTATAAGACCTATCTTACTACTGTTGCGGATGTTCTTGTTGGCCCGATAACTTTTCCAAGTCTGCAAAATCTTCGATTTTAATAGGAGGACTTCCATCTCGACCCTCCCGTTTTCTGACGTAGACGATGCCATTCCGCACCCAACAGTACTTGTACTCATTTTCACGAGCGCAGATTCGTGTGGCACGAAAAAGATGACGGCTTTCATATGTAAGTCTCTCGTTTACGTACACTTTTCTTTCTGGTCCCGTGCCTGTAATTTCAGAGCTATCTAAGGTACGTCGAGCTTTGGCTTGTTTAAGGAATTTCACGCTTTGATTTTCTTGTAAACGATGCTACCAAAGGGCGCGGCAATTGATTATCCGTTACTGTATCTTCCGCTCGTCGGCTTACTCGGGACACATAATCCAGATCACAGTCATCCAGCTCCACTCCCACTTTGATTGCCGTGGTTAGGATGAGATGGTAAGGGTTCTCACTGGGTGTTTCCGTCAAACCCAAAATTTCTATCTCCGACCGTACTGCTTTTTGATTTTGCTTATTTAGCTGATCTTGAAGTTGAGCGATTTGTACTTTGAGATTTTCATTTTCTCGTTCCCTTTCTTCTAGCATTCTAATGTGCGTATCATATTCAATAAATATGGCAGAGAGGTCGTCAAAACGCTTACTGAATTCTGTCTTCATATTTGCCATATCTTGTCGAAGTTATCTATAGTTTCGGCGATTAGTTCCGTATTGGCATTGTTTGGAATGGATGAATTTCCTTCAAAATCTATGGTGACATTTGTTTTTTTGCGGTGAGTGACATTTTCATTTAACCGTATAGGTGTGTTAGTATTATCACCCCCTTTTTTAGTAGCAGCGCAACAATCAGGGCATATCCAAGTCTCTTTCTGTTGCAAAGTCAGTTTGTTAAGGTTTGCGCAAGTTAAATGTAACGTTTTGTTGCAAGATTTCGAAGAGCAAGAGACACAATCTTCCTTTGTAATAATTTTGAGACACCCTGCGCATTTCATGTCGACTTTTACAATGATGGTGGTAGCCTTCTGCACAAAGTACGCTCTGATCGACAATATCCCAGAAATGGGTAATATTTTTGTGAAGCGGCAACACTATATCGATGTCAAAATCAAAATTTCTTTCGTCAGTTGAGTTTGACACTATCATTCAAAACAAATGTAGGTAGATCAGAAAAATAAATAAAAGGTAGTGAGCATAGAATTAACTTTTATATAAAAATCATAAAATAAGACCAATCTCCCCCCCCTATACTCATGTGCCTCAGTTATTGTCTCGCACTCTTGATAGCGATAATATTGTGTTGGCAATTGTGTAATATCGTAATGTAGAAAGACGAAGTTAAGTTGTTGTGATGTTTTGAGAATGTGATGTAATTGTACCTCAAAGATGAAAATAACTCGTCGTTTAGAGATCCTCGAGATGTGAGATGATGATTTTGGATGAAACTAACCACTGATAGTGCAAATATTTAAGTTTTCACAGTAATTTGTTATAAGGCAATGTATAAGCAGTTGACACTTTCAAAGTTGACACTTTCATATTGTGCCGGACTCTCCGGTAGGACTATTCGTTAACTGCTTTTGACTGATGGAAGTGATGAACACTAAGCTATGAGAGGATTCGAGGGTGAAAAGGAGATTGGTGAGTGATAATGGAGATTGATAAGGACATCCCTCTAGTACTTGGGCGGGCTGCAAAGCGTAACTGGCGCAGTAACGCGTTACGTAACGAAGCGGTATTGCCCTTCCGTAACAAGTTATCACTTCAATAATATAATTGTGAGGAGCTCGATGGCGCAGGTGGTTAAGAGCGTTCGGCTGCGATCGTTGAAGTTAAGCAACTTTCGCAGTGGTCGGTCATTGGATGGGTGACCAAAAATCTTCTAGCTCGAGTTCTACCGTCCTTCGAAAGGCACGTTAAGCCGTTGGTCCCGGCTGCATCTGCAGTCGTTAGCCCATGGCCCAATCTCCCTATTCCATCCATAGGGAAGGCCTGTGCCCTAGCAGCATGGGGACATTAATAGGCTGGTGATGATGGTGATCAGGAATACCTCTTCGGGTAGCCTTACCTCTGCGGGACCTTACCTCTTTGGGTAAACTTACCTCTGCGGGACCTTACCTCTTTGGGTAAACTTACCTCTGCGGGACCTTACCTCTTTGGGTAAACTTACCTCTGCGGGACCTTACCTCTTTGGGTAAACTTTCCTCTGCGGGACCTTACCTCTTTGGGTAAACTTACCTCTGCGGGACCTTACCTCTTTGGGTAAACTTACCTCTGCGGGACCTTACCTCTGTGGGTAAACTTACCTCTTCGCGTGATCTTCATCATCATTAACATATCCTGTTGTCTTTCCTACTTCTCGACATGACGTATTATGTGTGTTGTACGTATACAAGTTAATTGTGTTTGTTCGTTTGTCTGTACAGATCGGGGACACGTGGCCCATAAGTTTTTACAGAAAGCAGTTTTTGATGAATATAATTTTGTTCACAGACTGATGCTGCACCGCATCAAATGGGAGGAAGACACGGTGAAGGACACAGAAGGTCAGGACGTGCCTAACTCCTGCCATCTGGTGTGGGAGGGGATCACTAAACAGCGGTCCTTCGGAGATATCAAATTCAAGGTAGGTTCTTCAAAATCAAATCAAAAATCATAATTTAACTGCTAGATGTTTAAATGTAAAGAAAAGTTTACTAGAAAAAAAACCACGCGGACCAGGCAGCGGACGGGACTCGAACCCGCACCCTTCGCAATCCGGGCGGATGCACTGACCATTATGCTACCACGGCCCTATTCGCCGCGTCGAAATTTTCCTAGCCTTAGCTGCAAGGCAGCGCTATCTCTTCGCATTGTAGGCAACCCACAATGTCAAATGAATACTTTTTCACGTATTAAACATTTGAAAGAAGAAATAGCAATTATATTTATGATTTTATTTATTTTTAAGCATTTAACTGCTAGATGTTTAAATCTAAAGAAAAGTTTACTAGAAAAAGATCCTAAAAAATATTAAGATACCACATTAATTGTTTGACGACCTCCGTGGCCGAGTGCTTTGTACGCCGGGTTTCATGGCGTCGCCGACTCGAGAGGTCCCGGGTTCGAATCCCGGTGGGGGCAGATGTTTGTGTGATGAATACGAGCATTTGTACTCCAGTCATGGATGTTTAATATGTTTTTCTATATAAATATACTTATATATGTACAATATATGTATTCTGTCCGTTACCCTAGTATCCTATAACACAAGCCTTACCAGTGCTTATATATTTTAATCATTATAATTTATATATTTTTTATAAGCGGTTGCGTGAGTGTCTGTATGTGTATGTGAGTGTCCGTGTGTGTGCATGTGCGTGCGTGTGTGTGTGTGTTTATACAAATGCTCTTTTTATCCGCTAGTAAGTATTAATGTTATTTGTAATAGTATTTTGTTTTATTATAGTATTCTTAAGTAAGTTTTGTGGTATTTATTATTATATCTGTGTAGGTATTAATCGTATATATAAATATGTATGTATACAGGATGTTACAAAAACACAAATAAAGCTTGATGGGCTTTGAAGTACATCATATAAGGAGTCTTCTCTAATTTTCTTAAAATTTTTGCATGAAGTTATAACTTTCCTTTTTTCTAGTAAACTTTTCTTTAGATTTAAACATCTAGCAGTTAAATGCTTAAAAATAAAATAAAATCATAAGTTACAACTTTTTATAAAAACAGTTATTTTTAATGATTAATAAAAATATCGATCATTTTAAGACACGTCCGAGGATCATTAAAAATAGCTGCTTCTAAAAAGGTTAAAACTTCATGCAAATATTTAAGAAAATTAGAGAAGACTCCTTATATGATGTACTTCAACGCCCTTCAAGCTTTATTTGTATTTTTGTAACAACCTGTATATGACTGGTCCAACTAGTGACGTCAACAATTTTTTTTATATTCCTCGCACCTGGGGGTATCCGAAAATACCCCATGTATGTTCCGCGATTTTTTTCTTAGATTTCGAGTTATAATTTTTTTTGTGTATTTTTAATGACTAGCAAATCAGTGAACCAAATGTTCACCAAAACCTGATTTAAAAAATGTATTTAATTAATTGAGAACTTCGGAGATTTTGTGTGGTTTCGTTTGAAATTATTTAGTTAAAAAAAAATGTATTTAATTAATTGAGAACTTCGGAGATTTTGTGTGGTTTCGTTTGAAATTCGTGATTTCTCGGAAACCGGAAGTGCTACGTTACTCAAATCCGGTTTGTAGTCTTATCAGACTATTCTTAACTTATAACTTAAATATTCTCTTTATCTATCTCTTACGGTTTGGCCGCTGAAACAGCACCACAGACGGACGGACGGACGGACTTGTCTAATAGATAAGAGATTCCTGAATTTTAAAAAACAGCCCTTGCTGAGTTTCTTGCCGGTTCTTCTCAGTACAAGGTCTCCCGCTGTAGATTTGCGAACCTCTGGCGTAGCTTTTCGACATTCACAAGTGCTTGTAACAGCCTAGACTGAATAAACGATATTGAATTTGATTTTCTTTTTAACAGGTGATGCCTACAGAGAAACAAGCTCGGGAATTATTCCAGAAACACGGCGTGGAACATTATTGGGATCTGGCGTATAGCGGTGCAGTTTTAGGGGCCACGGAGGAGCCCTAAGGCACCGCCGACAATGTAGTTTAACTTAGCGAGCGACGAGAGAAATAAATATATTGTGTATATTTAAAAACATCTTGATTTGTTTTATTTTCAACTCACTCTTTTAAGGATATTGAAAACTTTTACCACAAAATAGGATAGTACAAAAGAAATGTACACATAGACACCGCTCACGGAGTCGCTACCCGCGAGTTCCATTCGTTTGAGAACGTCTGTTAGGGGCCGTTCATAAAATACGTTCGCATACAAGGGGGGGGGGGGGGGGGGGGGCTTGCTAAGTGTGACAAGGGGGGACGGGGGGTCTACGGCAACGTGACGTTCGTCGTTTATTAAAAAAAAATTAAATAAGTATTTCTTTCAACTATTTTTCTTTCTCAATTTTCATCAAGATAGAAAATCATTTATTTCGTATTTAGTAAACATATAGACATTCAAACGTATATAGTTTTATTATACAATAAATTGTTACCTGATATATTTACTCATGTTTATTTTTCGACATTAGCGCATATTTATATATTTAAATTTTATCATAAAAACTAAATAAATATTTAAATTCTTAAAATTTGTGTACTATCAATTGAAATTAATCATACTTAGGGAGGGGGGGGGACGGAATATTTCAAGAGGGGTCACAGAAAGTGTGACACAGCGTGACAATAGGGGGGGAGGGGGTCGGAAAAAGCTATTTTAGCGTGACGTATTTTATGAACGGCCCCTTAACTTTTTTGGGTTAAAATGGAGTAAGAAAAAAAATGGTGTGCACGGAGCACCCATCTGAGGTGAAACTTGTTTTCTTCAATAACCTAACATTAGGCGGTGCATAAGGCATACGGGAAGGGAGCAGCGCACGCATCACTCATATATATGTATATATATATATACTAGCTGACCCAGCGAACTTCGTACCGCCCTAAAAAAATAGGGGTTGTCCAACGGACAAAATTGTGAATCTATACCATTCTCAGATCCCCTTGAACACACACAAAAAATTTCATCAAAATCGGTCCAGTCGTTTAAGAGAAGTTCAGTGACATACACACTCACAGAAGAATTATATATATAAAGATATATAGTCACACGGGACATTAGCGTCATCATCATCAGCCTATTAATGTCCCCACTGCTGGCCTGGCAGGCCTTCCCTATGGATGGAATAAGGAGATTGGGCCATGACCCACCACGCGGGCCCAGTGCGGATTGACGGGTGCTAACGACTGCAGATGGCGCCGGGACCAATGGCTTAACATGTCTTCCGGAGCACGGAAGATCTTGAGATAAAAGACTTTTGGTCACCCATCCAATGACTGACTACTACCAAAGTGGTTTAACTTCAACGATCGCAGCCGAACGCGCTAACCACCTGCGCCATCTAGCTGCTCCATCAAGACAATATATATTACGACGCTCGTAGCGTTTAGCCATTGCCGAGTGACCCAAGGGCAGATCCAGCTTTGGCGCCAGGGGGGGTCATATAGCCAGCTTTGGCACCAGGGGGGGGGGGTCATATAGCCAGCTTTGGCACCAGGGGGGGGGGGGTCATATAGCCAGCTTTGGCACCAGGGGGGGGGGGGGGTCATATAGCCAGCTTTGGCGCCAGGGGAGGGTCATATAGTCGTGGTATATTAAATATTGAAAGTACTTAAATAAAATCCTGCTGGGTTTGGTCCATCTGTACCCAGCCCAGGGGGGGTCATGACCCCCATGACCCCCCCCCCCCCTGGACCAATTTTCATGCTCGTCGGAAATAGCTGCTCACGCATCCCACACACACATACATATATATATATATATATGTACTAGCTGACCCAGCGAACTTCGTACCGCCCTAAAAAAATAGGGGTTGTCCAGCGGACAAAATTGTGAATCTAAACCATTCTCAGATCCCCTTGAACACACACAAAAAATTTCATCAAAATCGGTCCAGTCGTTTAAGAGAAGTTCAGTGACATACACACTCACAGAAGAATTATATATATAAAGATATATATATATATATACGCTCGTAACGCATTGCCGTTTTATATTTTCCATAGGATTTTTCTATTTACACCCCGTCCGAACAGAACTTTCACTTTGAAAAGTAATTGTAACTGTTCAGTGGACGGTTTATTAAATTAAATAAAAGAAAACACACAACTAGATACGAGCGCGTGCTACCAGCACCATAATATTGTCAATCCTAGCGCGATGCATGAGATTACCGAAGGTACTTATAGTTTGCGCTGATACTGTGTTGCATATAAGAAGACAATACGTATATGCCCAATACCGCCCTCTAGTTGAGCCGACCCCCTCAGGTCTAGAGGCTCCAGACGGAGAGGAGACTCCCCCCGTGGGGAGATGCCATCCGCCTGGAATACCTCTAGAGGCACTCGCTAATGAGGAATGTTCATAGGTACGTAAAATCACTTGAAACTTCGTCACAGTGAAGTTTTTATATATCCATATACACTAATTTTTGTTTTATTTAAAAATACCAAGTACTTTTGATTTTACAAGCATTCAAAGTCATTAAACCCCGGATGACGTCATTTTCCAACGCTCCCTGTGCAGTCCGCGCTGCGCCCAGCTGTAGCAGTGAATAGGTCCCGCAGTGTTTTCTACTCTTTCTCCGCTTCTAGCTGTGTGAATTGTTATAACGATGGATGAAGACTTCAATAAAGGACAATCGGATAACCTACCTAAAATAGATGGACTTATGGTTGCTCATTATTTAGCAGTAAATAATGATTACTTTGCCGTCGAAATGAGAGGCGTCAAAATGCAAAGGTAAGTTACCCTTCTTTTATTATAACTCTTTCGAAAATTGGTAATATTTGTTCTGTATTGTTTTATTTATCGAATATAGGTACTTAACCTAACTTTTTTTTTATCGTAATCTCTAGAGGCAATCGCCAATTCTCGGCTTGAGATCCCCGTTAGGATCTCGCCGTCCCCAAACCCGGTGACGCTGTAAAGGTCATCTGCGACCATCAGCATACACACTCAAAAAAAATGCCCAATACTCAATAATCCTATTAAATTCCAATAAACTCCCAAAATGTATTTACTCAGTCTCAAAATAAGTCAAACTTGTAATATAAAACTTAAGAAAATTTTTCGAGAAAAAGTTTCCCGTGGACCAGGCAGCAGAAGGGAAACCCGCACCCTTCGCTATCCGGGCGGATGCACTGACCATTATGCTACCGCGGCCCTGACGGCCGTGTCGAAGTTTCTCAACTCCTTAAGCTGCAAGGCAGCGCCATCTCTGAAAATAATTTTAAAGTTAAAATTATTTTTCACAGTACCATGGTCTGGGCAAATTTTCACATGCGATATATTAAATAAAACAGTTTTAAGGGGTTGCACTGCACTGAATTTATTTATTTATTGACGTTTCGCATCCTTTTCAGGAATGCGTCGTCGGAAAAATAAATTTTTTATTTACTTTGTCGAGCTACCTTCGAAAGACTTATTGAGCGTTCGGATATTTCATTGGAAGATTTTTGAAACTTTATTGTCTATGCTTGAATTTATTAGCTAATTTAATTAATATATTTGATGAGTGATATACGTGAAAACCTAGGAAAGAAATATGCGATATATTATTAGAATAGTACATTACGATACGCGTGACCTAAGTTGCCTATTACTGCACGGCGTGAAGTTAGCGCCCGAGCGGAGCGAGGCCCCTCCGAGGGATGCGATTAGTGTTTTGAAAATAAAATTCATGTATTGCAATCACAAAGAATTGCAATACAGACTGCAAGTCAAACTCTGAAAAGAAAGAATTCCGGTTCAGATTACCATTTTGAAAGTATATTTATAAAAGGAAAAAATCAAATATCATTACAACAAAATAGAATTTCAATGTATCCATGAACGTTTATTCCTTGATTGGCATAGTAAAGTTAAGTTACGCGTATCGTAATGTACTAATTCTACATGAGTGAAGTTGGTCAATTCATTTACACACCGTGCAGAAATAGGCAACTTAGGTCACGGAAAAGCGTGCGTAAAGTGCGGGTTTAGGTCACACTGTGCTATAAACGATGTTTAATGTAATGAAGATTTATTTGTTGTTATGCCAAAGTGATGTAATATCCCAAATCGCTGACACAGTAAAGCTAGACAGACGTGAACGAAAATATATTTTTAATTCCACTTACCGGACACGATATACCTCAAAATGTATGGTTAATAGGAGGCAATATACACACTTGCTATGTAAGAGCAAGAAAATATTTATGTTATCAAGGGCGTATAAAAAAACAATTTTTGAAGTTATACTTCTTTAGGCGCGTTATGAAAAAATTATGAGAGTGAAATTTTAAGATGCGCGCGCATCACTGTAACACAAAAGTTACATAATGAAGTTAGCCGCGGGCGCGTTATGAAAAAATGATGAGAGTGAAATTTTAAGATGCGCGCGCAACACTGTAACAGAAAAGTAACACCATGAAGTCGGCCGCTAAACCGCACATTACTCGTAAGTCTCGAAAAAAAGCTTCCAACAAAATAGTAATAGGATCTCTTAGTCGCACATGTTGGGACGCTCGTCGCCTCTGATCACTGTTTTCATATTTATAATATTTATCCACATGTTTCTAGTTTCTATATTCTTAACACGTGTTATAATGTTATACAAATGCGAAATTTATATGTGCTAATAAATTTTATTCAGTAGTGATTTAAATTGAATATTTTGATTATTTCTTAAATTTTTCAAATTAAAACTGAACTTTATTGACTGCGTTGACTATCCTTTTCCAATCCTTTTATTATCTTATTGTAATTAATTATCTGCATGCAATTGAAAACTATTTTTTAATAATTCCAAAAAGAAGTATAACTTCTCACGGGCGTACTTAAGTACACGCACCCAAATTTATTTATTATTTGACAATATAGCAAACTGATACATCCTTTATTATTTAATCACTCATGTCCATAAGATCTATATTGGTGCCGATTCTGGCGTGATTCTCTAAACTTAAAACTAAATTTAACATCAGTCTGTCCTTTTCATTCTGTATAGAGAATGACAAGGATATACTGCTGTCAAATTTAAGTTTAGATTTAGAGAATCATGCTAGAATCGACACCATTATATTATTATATATACATTAATTATACTTTGAACTTTATCATGAATTATGATGCCTTAACACTTGTACTGTACTTGGCAAACAAAGACCACCAGCAAGGTAAGCATTATTGACTGTAAGTTTATTTATTAGTGTAAATGCAGCCGTAAGTTACTTACATTTTTACGAAATCAACTTACAAGTGTAAAGGTGGCCTTAACGTGGAATCTTACCGCCTTATAATACCGGCCAGTCTATACGTAAATCGTAAATACATCGTAAATAACAAGACAGCTGCAACTGTTGCCATAGCAACTCGACGTAACAAACAAAATACAATAACCTCAATCAAACTCAATACACGGGATATTTTACTTGCCGGTAAAGTGGTTAAAATGTCCAATTTGAGCGGTTACGACGGCGATGCGGTCGGTTTCGACTCCGTGAGCCAATCGAAAAGACCCGAAACCACAAGTTCGACTCAAACTAGCGAATATGGAGAGTGCGGTGTTGGTTCTCAAACCAACTTCACGAAAAGCTGCGGCTCAACAGCCACCCCTGAGGAACTCCATGCTGAAGATGACATTCTGAAGGAGTACCCTCCTCCTGGACTGAACGCATTCCTCAGAAGAGTCGTGCCAGGCATGTTGGAACAGTTGGATCAAAACGACACAGAAAACTACGTATCTTCAGATTCCGACGAAGAGGAATTGGTGACAGCCAAGCTGTTACAAGAGATCCAAGTTAATGAAAACACACCAGGCTTAGGGAGCGGCGACCATAAAACTGCGACTATCCTGTCTTTATCCTGGAGCAGCGCTGGCAACAACTTGGCCGTTTCCCTTGGACAAACGCAGCACGAAATATGGTGTGATCACGAAGGCTTGATCAGGGTTTATACTGTGAAACGCACAGCTGGCGATAAGCTGGTGAAGTACATGGACATTACTGAGAAGAATTGTGTCACCATCGTGAAGTATCACCCTTCCGTTGCCGCGTTGCTGGCGTACGCGACGAATTCTGGCGAAGTGGTATTGTGCAATCTCAGGGATTCGTTCAGTCAAACTGAAGGCATGCAGTTGACTTCTCCGGCGGGATGTCACGGGTCCCGGCCGGTTACAGCGCTCCATTGGGCGGACGCAGCGCTTGCTAACCGCTTTCTGACAATGCAAATCCAAAACACTGGCAAAAGACGCGGTGCGGCCGACCAAATTCTGATATCGGCCGGATCCGATGGAACCATCAATGTTTGGCAAGTGAATTCCACCTCAAAAGTGTTCGAGAGCGTGATCTGCTACGTGATAAACGGTTCTAAGAAGTTAGCAGCTCCCGATATAAGTTGCTTCGATTTTATTAAGAGTTGCCCTTTGAAACCTTTTGATGAGAAGGTGGCTGATGATATTTTCGTGGTTGGCACGAGAACTGGGAGTTTGTTTCTGTGTCGCGTGAAGAATGCACAGCAAATAGTAGATTCCAAGATGGCGGACCCGGTGTTTGACGTTTTGGATAGTCATGGCACTTGCGTGCTGGACATCGTGTTCAGTTTCCAGAGGCCCGGGATATTCGCTTCCGTGTCTATGGATTCTGAGTTGCGCGTCTATGATATCAACCAGCCCAGTCCTTTGAAGGTTAGAGTTTTTAAAGACTTTTATTTAAATGGCAAGGTGGAGGGCCCGTTTGGGGAAGTTACTTCCATCTTACAGAAGATCACAGTGAAATTGGTGTTGTTGTGGTGTTGTGTTTCTGTCGCTGAGTAAGGTTCCAGGGCTCCACAGGGTAGGATTGTGTCAGGGTAGGCAATGGCTCGAGTGATATTTTGGTATTGCGTCTATCGGTTATAGTGGCCGCTTACAGTGGGCGTCGGCCGCCCGGGGCGAAGGACAATTTTGCCGCCCTCTTATTTAAATGGTTGAAATATTTTTATTATTTATTGTAAAATTTTGCCGCCCCTAAGAAGTGCCGCCTGGGGCGGGCCGCCCCTGCCGTCCCCACTACGCTACCCCACTGCTTGTATGCCACCCATTTGACATAAAAAAATGTATTATGGCCACTAGGCCGCGTACTCAGCCCCCACGCGCGGGCCATCCTGCTCACGACTGCACTAAACTAAACAGAGTTTAGCCGGCGTCATAAAAAAAAGGGCCAATGCCCTACCTTAAAGTACATTTTTTGGCAATGCCACATAAAGCTATTACTATTCATCATGAGCCTATTAATATCCCCACTGCTGGAACACAGATAGGGTTGCCAACTTTTTTATGTCCATATATAGTACATTTGGATATTAAATATAGAAAAAAAGTACAATGTGTCCAAAATAAAGTACTTTTTATTTTTGCGTTGCTTCTAGCAACTTTGAATAAATAATTTGGGGCTTCTAAATATCTGTAATTCTTATCCGCAATGGGAAAGACAATTGTTTAAAGCCATACAGCCGCGATAATGTTGCAGGAATGAACTAAGGGCGACGTATTATAAATCTGTTCTTCTCCTCTTTTTGTAAATTTATGAAAAATGAATCCCCAAGCAATCAAATCACATCAAATAAAGTATTTCGCGTACTTTATTGTTGGCACAAAGTATAGAGAGAGTATACAATTACCCGAAATAACGTACACTACTTCATAATAAAGTGCGGGTGGCAACCCTAAACACAGGCCTTCCCTATGGATATAAGGAGTAGGAGGAATAGGGAGATTAGGCCTTGACCCCATGTGGTGGGTCAGCTTGGATTGGCGGGTGCTAACGACTGCAATTGGAGCCGGGACCAACGGCTTAACGTGCCTTCCGAAGCACGGAGGAAATCGAGATAGAAGATTTTTGGTTACCCAACCAATGACCGACCACTGCGAAAGTTGCTTAACTTCAACGATCACAGCCGAACGCGCTAACCACTCGCGCCATCGAGCTCCTCATTATACTATTAACCTCTAGTTACGCCCCCGTATATGGTCTCAAGGTCCTCACGGCTGTGGCAGAGGCACACTATGGGGCTACTGTCCCTGACAGCAGTAGGGTCGTAATAGGCTGTTGATGTTATTCCCACAGGTAATCTGCCTGGACATTATTGTATCGTGCATGTCGTGGGTGCCGCAGTCGCCGAGCGTGCTAGTGCTGGGCGTTTGCGGCGCGGCGCCGGTGCGGGTACGGCTGTACGACGCGGCAGCCGCGCGGTTACTGCCCGTCGACGGGCTTGAGGCGGCTGGGACGGTTACAGCGCTCGCGGTTAACCAGAGCGGGTGAGATACGCTTCTGCATTTTATTATTTATTCGTTATTTAGGGCGTGCGCTGCCTTAAGCAGGATGACGCGGAGCGGACGTCCGAAGACAGTGCACGCTAGGGTTGCCAACCCTACTGTATAATATAGGATCCTACTTTATAAAGCATGCCATACACGCTAGGGTATATTTGACAGGTTTACCTGTACAGGTCAACTGCACAGGTTAACTTGAGTTTAGTAGATACCATACACCTAGTGGTAAACCTGCACAAACTTTCAGTTGAAACCATGACCCCGATCGCTCTAACAGTCACCGGACAACTGACGCCTGCGCAGACGACCGCCACACACGCTCAGTTTTGCCTGCACAGTTAAACTGTACTACCCCTAGTACGGGTTTACAATGACGAAAACTATGATAGTTTTTTCACTCGTACTAATTGTACTGATTCTATTGTTTTCGTTTCAATACAAATAAACAGTGTTTAAATTCCATTATTAAATCATTTGCGTCTTCTTAAAGGAGATTGCTCAGCTTCCATACATGTTTTGCCTAAAGACCAATAATCATGAAAAATTGTTTCCTAGATTCGAAATTATATATAAATTACTATAGAAACGAATATTATTCACGGACACCCCTGAGAACTTCTATAAACCACATACACAGAACATATTAAAATAATAAAAAACAAATAAGTTATATAGTAAACTAAGGAAATCAAGCCAAGTACCGAATTTATTATGGATTAGATTCAGGTATATAGAGCATGTAGATTAACAGATAGTTGCCTGTTTTTAAAGTTAATGCATAAGAGTAACTTTTAAAATCAGGTGTCATCTATGCATTTCCGGTTATAATAAGGTACCTACTCTGTGACAGAAACTGTGTGATGATTGTGAATGAGCCACAGATTAGAGAGAATTTTTAAACTCTCGTTAACCAAAGAAAGCTAAGAGCTTTAGGTTATATAGCCATATATTTACTAGCTTCATTATTTTTGTTATGTTTTTAATATAGCTATATTTTAGATTTTTAGTGTATCACACCTTGTAATTTTATTTATTTATTAATTTATAGTCAGGCAACGTAGGTCCATAGATAGATACCTTAAAATCTAACATATATACAGATTATAATGTGTTTATGGAGGTGTTTGGGGAAAACTGTATGGCAATAGACTTTATGATGCCGCCTACCATCTATAATAATTGTCTGAGCACATTTGCATGTAGTGAAAATGATAATATAGTTGTGGATATTAATACCACAGTGTAATAAAAAATTGATTTATTTTATCGATCTTTACAAAATAGATTTGTTTTTATGTTATATAATTGTTTAGTTGTCTTCGACCAGTCTTTGCCTGATTGTTACTACACCTATAGCCATTAAAAATGATTCGTATGTTTTCCAAACTGCAAAATTGAAAGTCCTATCAAAAGTAATATATACAAAGGTGTCCGTTGAAATCTAATGACTGTAAATTAAATTATAAATTAAGCCAAGAATTACCGTGTATGTCAATATTTTTTTTGCATTTGGGCCAATTTGAGCAATCTCCTTTAAGAATATTTGGTTACTTTCCCCCAAAATGGACATAGAAGTATAATTTACAATTACGAAAAATATATTAATTTGCGTGACCTCAAACTCGTACTAAGGGTACTGCACAGGTAGAAAATATCAAAATTCGAGTTGCATGCACAGGCGTGAAAACCTGCGCAGTTATGTGATATACACGCTCCGTTTTATCTGTACAGGTAAACCCTAGCGTGTATGGCTTGCTTTAGAGGATCTAATACTATATTCCTGAAAAAAAAATAGGCCAGCTACTATATTTTGCGTAAAGCCGACATTTGTCAGTAAAAATCTTAAAAATAAATATTTATCATGGCGCAGAGCAGCAAAGAATAGCCATTGAAAAAATTAAGTACATATTCTAACCACATACTATTTTTTTTGACATCTACTATGTTTTTAAAGGTAACAGCTTTGAAACTACTATATTTTGTAGAAAAAAAATGGTTACCCTTTTTTTTTTGTTGACGGTGGAAAATCCATTTACGAACCATACCGCGCGCTGACTAGACGCGCGATGTGTGTGGGACCAAGGGCGGATCCAGATTTGGCGCCAGGGGGGGGTCATATAGCCAGCTTTGGCGCCAGGGGGGGGTCATATAGTCGTGGTATATTAAATATTGAAAATACTTAAATAAAATCCCCTTGGGTTTGGTCCATCTGTACCCAGCCCAGGGGGGGTCATGACCCCCATGACCCCCCCCCTGGATCCGCCCTTGTGTGGGACTCTCCGGTCCCCGGTCCTACCCACTAAACACCACCGGTACCCTCCTACGCCCTTGAGGGGTGCGTCTCGGGATCGGCGCCTGTGTGCGCCATTTCACCGGGACGCCCTCGGGCCGGCCCGGCCCAACGAGTGGACCGGGCGACACGCCTCTGGGTACCCTAGTAGACGCCCTTATTTATTCACGGTTTTTCAGCCGCATTATAGTTGGGTATCTGAGATACCCTCAAGAATCGAACAACGTTTATTTTATTTGGCTTTGAGTCCAAGGGCGGATCCAGAGGGGGGGGTCATGGCGGTCATGACGCACTGTGACTTGACCACGACTATATGACCCCCCCCCCCCCTAGCGCCAAAGCTGGATCCACCCTTGTTTGAGTCCCGAGACGTCTCGTATATCCAAATACCGAGACTTTTTGTAAATTTAGTTGTCTCAAGTAGAGACGAGACACGATTGTCTTGATTTTTATTTTGAAATAATTAGACTAGCGCTATCTGCTAGTTTAATGAATAATCACTTAGTCTACTATATAAAGTGTTGCCAGATCCGATTTTTTAAAAATCGGGGAAAGAGCTACTAGAAAAACAGTAGATGCAGAGGCGTACTTCTTCCGATTTGCCCCCCCCCCCCCCCCCCCCCCCTTGAATTGGTAAATCAAATGAAGATAAACTTAAGACCAGTAACGACTGTGTTTCTGTAGCTTCTGCCGCCCCACAAAGCTAGTGTTTTTTTAGACAATAGCATTTATTTTAAAATTAATAAGGTTACCTACATTATTAAAAAAGAAAATCGTGTTTTAAGAAAAACAGGAGATTCATGTACAAAAACAGTAGAACAGGAGAAATTTCAGAAAAACAGGAGATCTCCTGTAATATCTGGAGACCAGGCAATACTGACTATATTATAACTACTGTCGTCACCCATGCAGATGTCTATGGCCAGGGCCCGATCCAATGGGGGGCGAGCTGGGCTTTTGCCCAGAGCGGCAAAATTGATTTAGAGTCAGGTGAGTCAGCCGCAAGTTACGTCACTAAAAAGCGGTAAAAAAAATTGCCCGGAGTTGCGACATTTCTAGATCAGGCCCTGTCTATGGGCCACGGTGATCACTTACTACAGTTGATCTGCGGGTCAATTATGCTTCAGTAATAAAATCCTAATGTGATGTCAATATGATGTTGATGCCAAGTTGACATTGTTTTTATATGGTATTATGAAACATTCCTATGTCACATCAAGATCATATCAATATCATATCCTGTATCACATTTTTGACGTTTATGCGATACTATTTTAAGTCAAAAAGTTGAACGTAATACGCATTTAAGTTGATATCATTTTAAAGAGTTGATCATCATCATAGCATAAGTTGATGTCACTTTGATATCGCATTTTTCGGAGAGCGTAATACGTAATGTGAAATAGACATCAAAACAATATCACAATTAGCGAGCATAATTGGCCTGCTGTTCGGTTGTCCGTGTGTACAGAAAAACAAGTGTGTGCCGGCGAATTCGTCTGAGTGTAAAATTTGGTTTCTCAATTTTCCACCCCTTTAGAGAATGATTTTTTAGGTCAAAGACCTATGCCATTTCCTCAACTCAACGATGCCTATACCAAATTTCATTTAAAGAGACTTAGGCGCGAATAGGCGAAAATGCAAATACACTTCTGGACACATCAATTGGCCCACCTTGTATTTTCAGTTTCGTTTGGTCCTAGCTAAAATTTTATATTAGGTCGAGCAAAAAGTTTTTATGCAGTTTTGAACCTGGCACATTCACAATTTCATTCAATAGTCTTTTTTTGAATTTCGAACACAGAATTTAAAGAAACAAAAGGCAATTTGGAGCCTGTTTGTTGATATGAAACAATCGAATACTAAGAAAACTTGGTTTTATTGGTTTACTTGGATTTAATTCTTGAAAAAGTGATTGATATCTTTGGTTTTGCAACAAACATTATTTATTCTTAACATTAAGGTGAGGTTCTATCAATAATCTATGGATACTTCACCTGAAGTCGCCGCCCAAACTCAACTTGAGGTTGTTACAGGACCACGGCTGCCAACATTAAATGCTGAAAGGTAGATTCGTGAGTGCTTAGAACCTCACGTGATACCACGTGATACGCGGACTATGTGGGCCCAAATTTCCTTTTTATGCATGATAATGCAAGAGCCCATGCGGCCGGCATCGTCAGGGAATATCTTCGGGATGTGAACATCACAGTTATGGACTGGCCAGCCAGAAGCCCAGACATGAACCCCATTGAGCACATGTGGGACGAGCTAAAAAGACGTGTTAGGGCTCGTCAGCCAGTTGCCCAAACGATGCAGGAGTTGAAAACTGCCATAGAAGAGGAATGGGAGATGATCCCTCAAAATTTCATAGAGCGGTTGATAAACTCTATGCTTAATCGTATGAGAGCTGTGGTAGATACTTTGAACGATCCACGGAGCTCCATAAGATGATCGCGTTGTCAAAAACAATGTTGGCACGCTCGTCGCCTCTGATCACTGTTTTCATATTTATAATATTTATCCACATGTTCCTAGTTTCTATATAGACACAACGTGTTTCAGCGTGTGTGTCAGCGTGTGTGTCAGCGTGAGGAGCTCGATGGCGCAGGTGGCTAGCGCGTTCGGCTGCGATCGTTGAAGTTAAGCAACTTCGCAGTGGTCGGTCATTGGATGGGTGACCAAAAATTTACTATCTCGAGCTCCTCCGTGCTTCGGAAGGTACGTTAAGCCGTTGGTCCCGGCTGCATTTGCAGTCGTTAGCACCCACCAATCCGCACTGGGCCCGCGTGGTGGGTCATGGCCCAATCTCCCTATTCCATCCATAGGGAAGGCCTGTGCCCCAGCAGTGGGGACATTAATAGGCTGATGATGATGATGATGATGATGACAACGTGTTTTAGTTACTTACAAGTGCTAATTACATATGGACTAATAACTTAAATTCAGTAGTGATTTTAATTGAATATTTTGAATATTTATTTAATTTTTCAAATTAAAACTGAACTTAATTGACTGTGTTAACTATCCTTTTCCAGTCCTTTTATTATTTTATTGTAATTATTAATTATTTGCATGCAATTAAAAAATATTTTTAATGATGCTAAAGAAGTATAACTTCTCACGCGCGTACATAAGTTACACGCATCCATTTTTTATTATTGATTGTATTCCAGATCGTGCCGTATCGCGGCGGGGGACAGTGCGAGCTTGCTGCGTGTCTGGGAGTTGCCGTCCCGCCGCCTGCGCCTCTCAGCCGACGCGTTGAACTTCTAATCGCATAACCCGCCAGTGTTTGTTAAGTTAAATGTTGTTTTAATTAATAAAGACACTTGTTAATTTTTACACCTATTGGAGCTGTTATTTTTTCATTCTCATTTGAAAGACGAAAGTACACTATGTCCAATAGGGTATTTGAAAAGTTTAAGGCAACGATCTCACGTTATTGACTAATGTTTATGAAGTCCGTAAAAAGTGGATATTCATCATTCTGTTGTGTATTTCAGTAAAAATAACCATGTCAAAAACTCAATTTTTAAGTTACCGCGAAAACGTTTCTCTGGACAATATGGCGTCTTACTAGTGTATGACGTCACACGACTGTTATTAAAACGTCAAACGATACAATGTAATGTCCCTTAACCGGAACTTTACTTGTGTGTGACGTCATTTTAGGCTTCGCCAATCCGTTGCTTCGCCAAGCGTTTTGGGTCACGTGACACTAGGTAAGAAAACTAATATCTTTTTCGAGGGTTTTTTAGTAAAATAATGAATATTTTTTTTTTGTAAAAATAGTAAAAACCCCTGCCAATATTCATTCTAAACACAGATGCTAACAATTGGCACTTTATTTTTAATACTGTCAAATACCCTATTGTAAGCCAGATCGACTCACCAACATACCGTTTGACTAAACACGTAGCAAAGTTACTTTCACCACTAAGAGGTAACAACAGCCTTTGTGAGGAATATATATTTACTAGCTGACCCAGCGAACTTCGTACCGCCATAAACATAGGGGCAGGTGGTAGAAGATAAAATTTAGGCACTTTGCAGACGACGGGGCGGGGCGGGCCGGTCAATTTCGCCGCGAATAATAGCACAAAGTGAATCCTATACTTCAAACGCACACAGAGGGCAAAAAGACCACGCCTTGGGTGCCCGGCGGGCACTGGCGGCGCGGCATGTCCGCGGCTGCCCGCCGTGGATCATACAAACCAGTTTATATGCAGTAATGCAGACGGCGGCGCGGGGCGGGCATGGACTATTCACTAGAACGAACGTCCTGAACTGACCGCCTCTGCCCGTCGTGTGCTTTGTGTACGCGGCGCGGGCAGCCGCAGACATCGACGGGCAGACGCGGTCTTTATTGCTTCGCGGACAAAATACCCGCCCCGCCCCGTCGTCTGCTCAACGCCTTAGGGTTGTATGTATTTTTTAATACCACATTATATTGATATATAAATATTGTCCAATAAATTTTTAGGGGTGTGTAACGTAGTGTTCTATCAATTTTCTGGGATTTCATTCCTCCTAACCCATATGAGAACACTGCGTTTCAATACCCAATAGTTTGAATTTTGTCGCGAAGTCGCTTTGTAGGTTTCAGAACACTACGTTACAGGTGGACAACCATTATCACTTAAGGATATGAAAAATAGATAGTAGCCGATTCACAGACCCACGGAATATGCATATAAAATTTCATAAAAATCGGTCAGGCCGTTTCGGAGGAGTATGGTAACCAACATTGTGACACGAGAATTTTATATATAAGATACCAATTTGTCAATGAGATTCAAGATCACCAATTCTACCTCCTTTTTGGGACACTAACTAAACATACAGCGATAACTTTAATGAGATTTAACAGTGAATTGGCGTCTCTGAGAAATTCAGAAAGAGGTCATTTTTTTATGGAAAAAGCTAGTTTATTCTTACGCCCGGTAGAGGGTGCCGCTTAGTTCTCATAGAAATTTGGACGATGTGAAATGATTACGGTGCTGGCTAAGTTCGGGCTTGTACCACTGTACCCTTCGCACGAACCAATATCGAATTCGAATAGTTTGCGAGTGCGAAATGTCATTGTCAAATTTTGTATGGAAACTTGAACAGCAGCGGCACAAAGTACGTAACGAGAACTGAAAATCAGTACACATAGTACAGTCAATCTGTAGGTTGAGTTGTGAAAAAAAAACCTAAAGGGTAAGTCTTGTTTTTTCTGTTGCCAAATGACGTCAGTAAGCCACCTTGGCGATGAGCATGTTCAACTCGTAGGCGTTTTTTGAAAAACTCAAAAAAACCGTCAAAATTTTTTTGAAACGCATTTTTCTTGTTTTGTATGCATTTTAGATACTTTTTTTTCGACCATAATTGTAGAGGGCGTTGAGTACTACAATTTATGTCATTGTTGCAATCTCGTACAACAAAAAATGCGCATTGTAGGTGGCGCTAAAGTCTCAAAAAAAGTGTTTTTTCACTTTTTCACCCTGAAAATATCATTTTAATGGAAAACTTTAAATGGCTAAGTTGTTTCGTACATAATTACCAACAACTTTTGTATTAACATTTTTTTTGTATTACTTACCGTTTTCAAGTTATAAATTGCGCAGGTATGAAAAATTTGAACATGCCCATCGCCAAGGTGGCTTACTGACGTCATTTGGAAACAGAAAAAACTAGACTTACCCTTTAGGTTTTTTTTTTCACTGAAACGATATTTTTTTCGACAGATTGACTGTACTAACATTTGACAATGACATTTCGGACTCGCAAACGATTCAAATTCGATTTTAGTTCATGCTAGGGGTACTTTTAAGTTTTGTTCATTAACATTAGATTTTTGATAATTCTCATTTAATAAAGCGAAAGTGTGTATGTTACACAATCACGCTAAAACAGCTAAACGGATTTGGATGAAATATGGTACATTTCCAGACACATCTATCGGTCCACTTAGCGTTAAGTTTCAATTGTCTATAGCAAAAATTTTATTAATTTGGGGTGGAAATAATCTATACTAATATTATAAAGCTGCAGAGTTTGTTTGTTTGTTTGAACGCGCTAATCTCTGGAACTACTGGTCCGATTTGAATGATTCTTTCAGTGTTGGGTAGTCCATTTATCGAGGAAGGCTATATTTTTGAAGTGAAACTTCTTTATCGGCGTTGGAAAAAATTTTACCGTCACATTTTTCGGTTACGCGTCACATTTTTCCGTTACGCGCCATCTTTTTTTATATTAATAGTTGATAGCTGAATGATCACACTGTCGCCGGCGAGAACTCTCTCTACTCGTTTGTAGCTGAGTGACAATAGTTATTAAAGATAAGACTCGCTCAGCCAAACTCGCATAGCGATACTCGCTCAGCGGTACTCGCTCAGCGATACTCGCTCAGCGATACTCGCTCAGCGATACTCGCTCAGCTATTCTCGCTCAGCGATACTCGCTCAGCGAGACTGCTAAGCTGGCTACTACAAGCTGGCTTGGCTGTCAATAGCCGTGCGCGTGCATTTTAACTCAGGACTGCCAATTCGTTTCTAGTTTCTACTCGCTTATCGTTCATCGTCGGAGGTGGAACATGTGCCTTAGATTACTGAGCCGTGTAATCATAACAGTTTCATAGGCAGTAATTTGTATTCATGTCTATGATAATAAAATCCTTTTGTTTAAACTTTATCTAATTTAACTTTATTTAACCAATTTCTGGAAAGTTGCATGTAGATCATTTTTCGAAAAATAAGGCCATAAAGAAGTTTCACTTCTTACGTGTGTACACTAGTACACGCACACATTTTTTTTAAAATTAGGGATCCGTAATAGAATTGCTATTTTCTAATACAAGTATTTTACGTGCGCTGCAAAAACTATTGACAATAGAACAAAATGATGTACTACGGGTTTGTAGATCCCATTAAGACCTACAAAAAAGTCCGCGAGAACATATATCTAGCTAGGTACCATGGTTTAATCACAATAACCGATTTTGTGTTCAAAATAATTATTAAATCGTCTGAAGAAAAAAAAACTACGTTAAATATGTATCGTAATATTAATCTTTATCGAAATTAAGCATTATGTTATCAAGAGTATTTATGTAGAAGTAAAATACTTTTTGTTTCATCTCAATCGGATATTTCGTTTAAAAGTTATCACGTGTGTAAGATGTTAAGAGTTGGTACCTATATATTTTATCTCGGTATTTCTACGGAAACCAGAAAAACGCGGATGAAACCGCGGGGCACGGATAGTATAATATAAAGGCGTATGACTCCTTCACCATACGTGCCATCCAACTATGGAATTCTCTGCCGGAAAAGATTAGGCGTGCCCAAACTCTAGCTTGTTTCAAATCCCTAGTTAAGGAGCATTTCTTGTCAGATGAGCAAGATTTTCATTAAAATATTGCTACGGTAATAGTACTGTTGCATTATATTGCGATATGTGCGTTTATTTGAAGTTATACTTCTTTAGGCGCGTTATGAAAAAATGATGAGAGTGAAATTTTAAGATGCGCGCGCATCACTGTAACACAAAAAATTAACAGCATGAAGTTGGTCGCTCGACCAACATCATGCTGTTACTTTTGTGTTTACCGCACATTAAGAAAATCTACCAACAAAATAGAAATAGAATCTCTATTTAGTGGGTGCTAACGACTGCATTGTGAAGGCCTATCAAAAGTATTTATTAATCTGGAACAACGGAACCAAAGCGCGATTCAGGAGACTACAGCGCCATCTCTTGACCATTGGTGTAGTAGAACCAAAAACCACATCTTTATTTTTTGTAATAAAGTAACAGTTATAGGTATTCATATTTATAATATTTATCCACATGTTTCTAGTTTGTATATTCGGAATACGTGTTTGAGTTTCATACAAGTGCAAATCACATATGTTCTAATAAATTATATTCAGTAGCGATTTTAATTGAATATTTTGATTATTTATTTATTTTTTCAAATTAAAACTGAACTTTATTGACTGTGTCCTTTTCCAGACTTTTTATTAATTTATTGTAATTAATTATTTGCATGCAATTAAAAACTAATTTTAAACGATGCCAAAGAAGGATAACTTCTCACGCGCCTACATAAGTACACGCACCCATTTTTTTTAATTATTTTCAATTCACTACTTACAAAACTTTTGTCTAGTTTTCCGCACAACCTCCCTCATTATTATTATTGTGCTTTCTACTTTTTCCAGCTCATTGGGTTGTCTGGAAGAAATCGCTGATTAGCGATAAGACCGCCTTTTGTGCAACTGTAATTGTTTTGTCTTGTATTTGTATTTTATTCGTGTTATTTATGTTACTGTTGTGCAATAAAGTATTATTATCATATCTTA